AATTAAAACAAATAAAGAAAGCACATTTGCTGAATTAAGCTGTAAAAAGCTAAAATTATCACATAAAGGTGACATTAGCCGAAAAAAGCTCAAATTGGCTGAACAGTAGCTAAAACCTCAAAATCAGCTAAAGTCTGCAGAAAGCTGCTGAAAGAAGCGTAAAAAATATTTAGCTGAAGAAAAGTAAGTCAGAATGATAGCTAAAAAAGTAAAACAAAGCTAAAATCAGCTAAATATCAGCCAAATGAAGCAGAAATTTGTCCAAAGGAGTTTAAAATAGCAGAACCAGAACAAAAGGTGAAAGTACAGTAGATACTGTATATACACATTTTCAGAGGTTTTAAGGGTGTTGAAGTCAGCTCCATTCATTTTCAATGAAAAAATGGCAGAAAACTAAATATCTCAAAAAATATAAATTGCTGAAGTAATAGCAGTCATAGCTGGAATGTCCTGAAGGAGCTAAACATTTTGATGCATAATGTCAAAATAGCACAAAAATTGCGTAATGAGATGTATGTGCCAAAAAACATGGACCTCAATAGTGTGGATGTTTTATAAGCATTCGTACAATAATATTAGAGGTTTTTTTTTTTTGTTAGTTCAGGCTTATTATCAAAGTATCTAAGACAGCCATCTGAATTAATGTGATGATCATTTGAAGAGAGACATTTTGTGGTTTTCAAATGTACACCAAGACTCCCATTTCCATTTCAAACCTGGCTTCAGAAGGACATTCTGAGAATTCTGGTTCTCACTGAGGAGAAGTCTCTCAGACTGCGTTCACAATAGTCTGCYGAATGCAACATGCCAAGCTTGTTCAGCAGAAAATGTGGCATTTCTGTGCCATAACACGATACCTACAGACCTGGGAAAGTCCTTTTATTCTCACAGGTATGTATGCCTCAGCTGCAAGCTCTGCAAAACTTCCATTTACACACAACGAAACTCTTTATCTGATGCAGACAACGCAGTGACAGTAGGACAGAGGTTTGCAAGGCATTAATTGTAAATATCGGGCAGGATTTTCCCAAGTATGATTCTGTGTGGCAATAGCAACAAAACCATCAAAACAAGAGCTGTTAAATAAAATCCCACAGTCATGTTAAGAACTACGAAGCCTGACTTCACAGCCCTCGCAAAAAACAACATGCATCACAAGGAGCTGTTATTTCTATAAATAGTACAGGCTTGGTCCAAAACACACTGGCTACTATTACACATCAACAAGCTCAGGCATCAGCCACGAGCTCCCCGCTCGTCACATGTGTCAGAGCATAACAAATACAGCACAGATTGTGTGTGTGTCATATGCTCTCGCACACACACAGCAATGCATTCATGTTTCTAACTAACTGTAACGGATTTGGTCACCGTTTTCAACACTTTGCGGTACGCTTTCCTGTTTTGAGTCACAGGGTGTGGTTAGACCTTTCTGTCGGGCGCAGAGTTGCTTCAGTTGAAGTAAATCTTGGCCCACGTGTTCAGTAGACTTGTCACTTGTGGATGAGAATAACAACATTTACCAGAAACAGAAATGGATGACAGGTAATCGTACGAGAAGGTCTTTAATGTGCCTGTCTGCTCAGAAATGTTTTAATCAATAAAACCTTGGTCGCTGCTGTGCAGAAATGATGCCGTTGTTTGGAGAAAAGGAACACAAGCTTTGACTATTTGACTTTTAATCAACACATTTATGTATAAAATAAAATGAATCCTTCATGCTCATTCATGTCCTTACCTTTATCATGTTATGATAAACTGSGGTTCTGATTGGATTAAACATGATTAAACAGATTTAATAAAATWACAGACTGTAGCCACCTTATTTAAACTATGCGAATAAAAACAGTAATATCTTACCTGTTATAGATAACTGTGAACAACCCCAGTTTGGAGGAATAGAGTTTAACTCTGACCAATCTCATGAGCTAATGAGACCAAAGCATATTACTGCCATTTTTAAACAACTTCAGTTTGAAACATTTATTAGCAGTTGCTCATATTGTACAGTATTTTAGAATGGTAAATGGCTTGAACTTGTATAGCGCCTTATCAAGTCCACTTGGACCCCAAGGCCCCTTGACACTTCAGACATTCACCCATTCAAACACATTCACACACTGATGGCAGTAAGCTACAGCCACAGCTGCCCTGGGGCACACTGACAGGGATGGGGCTGCCATGCACCGGCACCACCGGACCTTCTGACCACCATCAGTAGGCAAGCAGGTGAAGTGTCTTACCCCAAGGACACAACGACCGAAACYGCTGGACGGGGGATCAAACCGGCAACCTTCCAGTTCCAGGACYACCCCCCTAASCACTCCACCACAGCCGTCCCACCATTAGTCAAAATAGAAGTCCCTACTTAGGCTTATTCTGGCAGAAATAATAGGAAATTCCCACATGAATTGCCACAGAATGCAGCAGAAATGCTATAGCAACTATACTTAGTATAAAAAATTAAGGAAATTTGTGTTTGGTAGATTATTTCTTTGTTGTAACAAGGCTTTTTGGCAACAAATCTTATCTGATTGGCAGCCCCTGGGYTACCAAAAGTTCAAAACAAGTGTCAATAGCAACAACAAAACAAGCTGTTTGGCAGAGAAGATGGGTTGGGAACCATGGAGTCTCATCTCTGCTCTATGCAGATGATGTGGTTCTGTTTGAGTCTTTGGACCAAGYCCATCAGCGTGCACTGGGGCGGTTCGCAGCCGAGCGTGAAACGACTGGGATGAAAGTCAGTTCCTCTGAGGCCATGGTTCTCGACCAGAAAAAGGGTGGAATGCCCCCTTTAGCTCTCTGCCCCAAGTGGAGGAGTTTAAGTACCTGGGTGTTTTGTTCAGAAGTGATGATAGGATGGAGTGGGAGATGGATCGACGAATCAGGGCCTCGTCCTCAGTAATGAGGGCGTTGCTTCACTTGATTATGGCGAAGAAATAGCTGAGTCGAAAGGCAAAGCTCTCAATTTATTGGTCTGTCTTCGTTCCAACCCTCATATGGTCATGAGGCGTGGATCATGACCGAACGGATGAGATCCCAGATACAAGCTGCTGAAATGAGCTTCCTGTGTAGGGTGGCCGGGCTCAGCCTTAGAGAGAGGGTGAGGAGCTCCGTCATCCGGGGGGAGCTCGGCGTATAGAGCCGCTGCTCCTCCACATCGAAAGGAGTCAGTTGAGGGGGTCTGGGCATCTGATTAGGATGCCTTCTGGACGCCTCCCTTTAGGGGTGTTCCAGGCACGTCCCACTGGTAGGAGGCCTCAGCGAAGACCCAGGACTCGTTGGAGGGTTTATGCATCRTCTTTGGCCTGGGAACACCTCGGGGTCCCCCAGGACGAGCTGGAAAGTGTCGCTGGGGACAGATAAGTGGAAGAAGATGAAGATGTCAGAGAAGATTTGACTTTTTTTTTTCATGTGCACAACCCACATACTCATCTCAACTGCTCATCCCACATGTGCATATTCCTTACAAATGTGGTAACTTTTAAAAGGGAAATGAACAGGTTTTACAATGTTATAAGATAAACAAAAAGCAATCAAGCACAAACTTCCTTACTTTTTGTGCTACACATGATTCTATGTATTTTGTGTGTCTAATGACATAAAGTTATATTTGAAACACACAAACTTAAATCATGATGGTACCGTTTTACCGTGTGACATTTMATTTGCCAACCTTAAGCTCTGGAATCATTGTTTATATGAATTAGCAAGCTCAGAATCCTGCTGACTCTGAACTGAGCCCACTGAAATGTTGTGATGTTGTGTTGCTGCCCAAGGCACTAGACATTTTACTGACACTGCAGGTAGAACATTTTGGTAATGTTGGCTGTTTCTGCTGTATGTTCAGGATCACAGATGAGCTTTATTACTGGAAAGCAGCTGCTTAATTCACACACAGGCTCATTTGATTTGTTTTCTTTTTTACCTGGACATTTTAATCAGAAGCTAACAGACTGCAAGTCTGATCATTTGAGGTTGATTAAAGACATTTACTGATTTCATTATAAACTTAACATCATAATAAAGTTATTGTTGACCCAAAAAGATAGATTGTAAGCACAAGTTTCATGTACAGTAAAAAGGTATAGGCTTACAGAATACAAGTTAAAATCCAGATTTATATATAATTGAAATTTTGTGGTGGGAATTTGTAATATTTAATACAAACCTTTGTTTTGACATAGCAAAATCAGCCTGGTGGACAGCTAATTACAGAGGTCATAAAATATTTATTAGATTTTTTGACAGTTTTGTTATTGTTTAAATATTACCCTCTTTCAAGTATTTTTTTCTGAATTAATGTAGCAAGTTTGACACCTTTTTTTTTCCCTCAAATGACTTAGTCAAAAGCTGCTAATTTCTTTTTGTTAAGCCTGCCAGAATGCAAACGACCAATTTATTGTTCATCATTTCGAAGTCACTCCTGGTTCAATAGGCAGCTTATGTAAGTATGATGTAAAAACCTGAAGCATTCTTTGCACAAACATTTTAAATGGCTCTTCAATCAAGCAGGAAACATCTTGTATGTAAAATTAGCCGTATTTGCATAATTATGGGTTTAGAATTTCTTGCTGAAGGAGCAGCCACAGCTTTGTCAGGGGAAAAAAGGTAATTGAACGCTGGGAAGAATAAAAAAACACCTCAGACACAAATTATTTTCTCATTCCTAAAACATACCTGAGGGGGATTATTTTTAAAGCTGAAATTTAACGGAATAACTCAGGAGAAAAAAATGGATGAAACACTAATAATGGAAACAACCACATGAAGTAGCTACATGGTATAAAAATATCACATGATCACACTGAGACAAGCAGATGGAGAGATGGCCACCCATGGTACTGCATCAGTGAGTTTTGGGAGAAACAACAAGGAAGAACAGAATGAAAAGTGGACATGTTAGTGCTGCCCCCTGCTGGTGACCTATGCTTTGCAATTAAACTCAAACGATTAAACTTGTTTGTTTGTAATCAATAAATCTTTACAAAATGGCCCAGGAACGTTAACAGATAATTTAATTTAAATATTGAACAAAAAAATTGTGCAACAGATTTAACAGAAAAGAGTTAACATTACAGAATTATACATTTATTGAACATGTTGAGTATGAGTTTTTTTATTTTTACATAAAAACAGTATTATAGTATAAAAACTAAAAAAGTACAAATAACATACATGACAATGTATTGTAAACATTCAGAACAAGATAATAAAACTGATTCCTTGTGGCAGTATTTTTAGAATAAAGGTTTATCATTTAACACTTATAAAACATGTTATTTRCCCACCATGATTTTATCATGTAATTGCAAAAGGTATACCTCAAAGTGAGACCATAGAAAATGTCCCAAATACTGGGATGAGTGTTTCCTTTCTTTAGGGTTTCTGCCCTTTTCACATAACCCAAAACACATTTTATTGAAAAATACTAGTCCATATATTCATGAAGTAAAAAATATGAAATGTACAGGATAAATGTAACTTAGTGTTATCAGGCTGTAAAACCTTAAACATTTGAAATGGCCACATGAATCTTCAAGTTATACTAAAATGCAAAACAGTCAGTGGATAATCTCACATATCCCGTGCTGCCTTGGAGTTGGATTGTGCTACACAAAATGAACATTCCTCATTATATGAGGCAAGAACAAAAAGAAAACGGAGATCAGAGACAGGGATTAGCAGGAAGTTGCTACACGTGAGCCGTCAGTATATGTCTGATATGAAGTGCATGCTATACTGACTCTAGAAAAGGGAGTTGGGGTGGAAGAAAAGTCCTTTTAAAGGTTGCAGCTGGGTCTTCATGCTCGCTTGAGTTTGTCGATGTGGAAGGTGAGTTTGAGGGCGGGGCCTAGTTTCAAACCCATGTATTTCATCATCACCTCACTGCGCAGCAACAAGAGGGCTTTACCGTCAATCTCCTGAAAGGAAAGAAGAAACCAGTGTTTGTTTTTTTTGCAAATCCACCCAAATAGGTCGCACTTAAAGTACTATACAAAACACGTTTTATATGTTCTGTCTACTGGAAGAGTTCAAGTGGTACATATAAGTAAAGTTATTTTAAAAAAGTACCAGATCCTGCTGTATACGTACATGTTTTCTAAAAAGGTCAGCATGTGGAGCCAGAACGGGGTCAATATCCCGAATATATTTCATGACTTCCTCTACAGTCCACAGATTTGGATCCTGACCGCTGGGTCTGGGGCCTTCTCGAAAACTGCCTGAACCTGCAACAGCAAAAGCCCAGATTTAAATCCTCAAAAACACAGTCGGTTATTTAGTTGGTCCTATTGGTTGGTTCATATTTCTTTTGTAATGAATGGTTCATTAAAACACTACATCTGTCACTGAAGTTTGAAAGCCTTGTCTTTAGCTTTAAGCTAATCCTCCTACCCGTAGAGTTGTTATGATGCAGCAGCTTGGAAGGAGATCTGAGACCAGGTGTCAATCCTGGCAAATTTGGAGAGACGGTAATCTTCTTTAAGTGCTCTGGTGCTGCAACACTGTTCTCACTGAGAGACTCACCTGTGGATGAAACAGAAGCCTCGTCAGTAACATAAAATAATGGTGCAGATTTGAAATGGAGAAAGTCGACTCCACACAGTAAAAACAGATTGATCACAGTAAAACTGCTTTAACAGCACAAGAATAATAGTGATTTGTGAGTGTGTTATGCTCTTCAGTAAAAGTACACGAGTGTTTTAAGAGGGGATGTTAGCTTTTTATAGAAATCTCTTCAAATATTCCATTAGCTTAATTAAAATTAAAGGAAATTGGAAGATGATTAAATGATTAACCTCTGCTCCAAAACMTAATACCACTCCATCCCCAACTATGGGAGCATGTGTTTTAACTACCTCTTTTATATGATTATTAAAGCTTAACTGGACAAGTCAGAGCAGTCATATTTGAAAATTAAACACCTTACATAAAATGTAGTAGATTAGGAACTCGGAGGTGCTTATTATATACACCCACCTCATTACCACTAAATCTATTGTATTTGGAAAATATAATAAAACCTAGAGCTGATCCCAGCAACACAAATAAAATCGTTGGGAAAGGTTACCTTTTCCGCATTACTCARCCTTTTAATTACATTTTTCTGAGATAACTATATTACACATATTTTGTATATAAAAACAAGGTTTCTGTTATAGATTCACATAAGTAAGTAAAGTTTTATTTATAAAGCGCCTTTCAGAGAAATATATTCACAAGGTGCTGTACAACCATGAACAGTATAAAATGATGGAAAGAATAAAATGAAACAGAAAAACATAATTACACATAAGCAACGAAGAATTGAAACATCAAATCAAGAAATTAATGTCAAAAATTGTAAATCAAACATAAATATAAATACAAAACATAAATATTTAACAAAACATAAATATAGGGAAGCACAAGGGACATAAAACTGTATTAATCTTCTTACCATTAGTAGAGTGTCGAGGGATTTTTGCTAGTTTCTGAGACAGGGGACCGTTGAAGTCCTGATGGAAGCGCTTGGTGCTTTGGACTGAGCCTGTGGTCAGACTGTTTCCAAAACTTCTTCTCTCTAAAATCATCATAGAGGAGAGAAAAACAGCTGATATACTGTAGCCAGAGGCTGTTGTGCTACATAAAGATGGATGGAAGAAGCTGAATGTGATAAAGATACAAATAAGTAGACCAATCTCTATCAAGCGTACAGTAAGTGTAAAAAATTTAAATAAAAAAATTCCATCTATGAATTTTTCTGCCTAATTGCCAATCCAAAAATCTAAATACCAGACCAGATAATCTGCATCTAGTGACAACAATACAAATCAGAAGATTGCTTTAACTACACAATTGTTGGCTACCTCAAAGTCAACAACAAAATGCTAAACATTTTCTGGGCCTAGATGTAATTGAGAATACAGAATTAAAGCTCAGCTGTTTCTGACCTGTAGTGTATGAGTGACTGTCATAGTGCAGATTTCCTCTGGCTACAGGCTGGCTGCCAAACAGAGGGTCACAGTGAAGGTTGTGGCAAAGTTTTTCCAGGAAACGGAGGACGTAGGTGACACTGCTGACTGTAGGGAGCGTCAGGGTGTGCTGCTGCTTTTCAAAAAATGCTGGACAATGCACAACAGAATAAAAAGAATGGTTAATAAAAGTTTCTCTTCAAATTTTAGCTTAAGGTTTTTTGTTTTTTTTAACTATCCTCACCTGAAATGACCTCTCCMCCTTGCCCAGGCTTGAGGCAGGAGAAAACAGTACCCTGGTTGTAGGCAGAGTCCACACAAGCCTGAACACACTGCTGAAGAACTGAGGAAGCTCGACCCGGACCAAAGTGATCTGGAAGGTGCTGGATTCGCCTCTGGTCCAGGTGGGGTCCCACTTTGCCGWACTTATTCAGGTACACACAAACTATAAAGACAAAAACTCACAGGCTCAACATGGACCGATATATTTTGATTTAGCTCTACTTCGATGTCAAATTGCTGAACTTCTCTATTATCTGTGTTTTGCAGCTAAAACATTACGTGACAAACTGAGCCAGTCTTTGATCCATTTATCATTTCAAACTATAACACAGGGAATGATAATGTTTTCTGCCCTGGACCGTACCAGTGGGAGCCTGTAGTGCAGAGTTGGGGATGGTGGCGTTGTCTTGGGGTACAGTGCTGATGTCGGGCTCTGGGGTGCTGCTGGTGGGAGATGTGGGGACTGGATTGGGTATCACTCGTGGTTTTCTCTGTTTAAACATACACATGATCAAATTTTACAGCATTTGGTGTTTCAGTTATAGAACACAATCAGCAAACAAACATATTTATTATAATAAAGTATAAAGTGGGATTTGCATTTTTTGATTTTTTTTTATATTTTACCAAAATAAAAGTCTAATAAAATGTTGTGCACTAGAAAACAGAAAGAC